ACCAAGTCAAGGGTTAAAACCCCCTTCCCGGTCATCTGTAAAAAAAAAAAAAAAAGAAACGAGTTGATAGGTAGATTAGATTAGAGGGTAGATGCGTGGATGAATATGCTACCAGTGGAAAGATGTCTGGAAGGTAGATGGATGAATGAATGGGTGGATAGGTTAATGGATAGATAGGTACCTACATAAATGGATGAGAGATGCAGGTATTTATGGATGTGTGCACGTGTGCGTGAATAGATAGAGTGAATGGTGGAGAGATGGAAAGGTAGACAGACGGGTGCACAGAAGGAAGAGAAATGGTTGGATAAATGAGTGGGTAAATGGGTGAATGGATGGGAGGATAAGTGGATGAATGGATGGATAGGTGGACGGTTAAATGAATGAATGGATGGATGGGTGGATAGAAGGTTCCAAGCATGAGTGATTGAAAAAAATGATGGGTGAGTGATTGGCTGGATTGGTAGATGAGTGGATGAATTGGTTAAATGGATGGATGGATAATAGAAGGTTTTTTTCTTCGATAGCTTTGTGGAAGGTAACTGTGGCTGGGAGAATGAAGCTACAGAATGGGCACAGTTTGGGGGATAATGTATCTGGGACCAGATTGGGGGGCCAACTCCTGAGTCTTGGACCACCAGGGGGAAGAGGAGGAGGACTGGAGCCTGGATGACATGGAGCAGCTGTCAAAAGGGTCCACTGGGCGTCTGCAGATTCGCCATGCCAAACTGACCCAGGCTGGTGCTTACCAGTGCATCGTGGACAATGGAGTGGCACCTGCAGCCCGAGGGCTGGTCCGGCTCGTTGTCAGATGTGGGTAACATCCAAACCCCTGATTTCAAGGCCTGCCACTAAACCCACAGCTCTCATGTCTTCCCATATACCTCATGTTGACTCCCCTTCCTCTCCTAGTTGCCCCCCAGGTGGAGCACCCCACTCCCCTAACTAAAGTGGCTGCAGCTGGAGACAGCACCAGTTCTGCCACCCTCCACTGCCGTGCCCGAGGTGTCCCTAACATCATCTTCACTTGGACCAAAAACGGGGTCCCTCTGGATCTCCAGGATGCCAGGTGAGCCCAGGCCCAGCCAGGCAGCACTCCATCCCCTACTCTGGACCCCCAGCCCCAGTTCCCCTCCTGAGCCCCCACCCCACCTTCTCTCCAGGTACATGGAGCACACATATCACCAGGGTGGAGTCCACAGCAGTCTCCTGACCATTGCCAATGTGTCTGCAGCCCAGGATTATGCCCTCTTCACTTGCACAGCCACCAACCCCCTAGGCTCGGACCACACCAACATTCAACTCGTCAGCATCAGTATGGTGGGAGGGGGCTGTGAGGGTGTTGAGGGGAGGGTGCTCCCTGGGTCAATTCCCAAGTCCCCAGTGGGTCCCAGGCTGGCTGTATTCCTGAAACCTGAGAAGTGTTTATGTGTGAGTGTGTGAGGATGGAGTTTTTGCCCGCCCCTGAAAATCCTAATGGAGACTGGGTCTTCAGGGATATTCACAACAAATGCAGGGAGGAAAAAAAAAAAAAAAAAGCAAGGGGTTGGGGTTACTTACTGGCTCAAGTAACTGAAAACTAGATTTTCAGGAGTTGCTGGATGTAGGTTCAGCTGTCATCAAGGACTCTCCATCTCTTAGGTCTGCTTTTCTCTGTGTTGGCTTCATTCTAAGGCTCTTCACAGTGATCTGTTAAAATTCCCAGAGGAAATATAATTCTTTCTCTTCCTAACAGTGGTATGAAAATACTAGAATTTAATTTCATTGGCTCTACCTGTCTTCCAGCTGGTCTGCTTTTCTCTGTGTTGGCTTCATTCTAAGGCTCTTCACAGTGATCTGTTAAAATTCCCGGAGGAAATATAATTCTTTCTCTTCCTAACAGTGGTATGAAAATACTAGAATTTAATTTCATTGGCTCTACCTGTCTTCCAGCTCATCCCTGAACCAATCATATGGCCAGGGGAATGCAACACTCTAATTGGCCAGACCTGGTCATATGTCCATTCTATTAGGAGTAGCGTCACTTCCATCAGAAGCATGTGGGCCTCAGAATGTGGGAGGGTGGTTCTCCAAAGGAAATTCAGGGTGTTATAACCAGAAGAAATGAGGAGAATGGATGTGAGATTAGCACAAAGAATGTACTACAAGGAACATATATACCAGGGGTCTTCAAAAAGTTCATGGAAAGATTCATATTCTTTTAATTCTATTTTCCGACAAACTTTGTGAAGTACCCTTGTATATAGTTGATTCTAATTATTTGTAAATTTACCTACTTGCTAATATTTATTTGTAATCCCCAAATGATTAATTATGGTGCTTTTGTGGTCATTCGAGGACATGCATAGAGCAGCAAAAAATTTGAGTCACCTGAGGTGTATGTTTCTAGCTGGGACTGACCAAGGGGACACTCAGCCTCCTTGTTTCAGCTCTCATTCTGTGACTATGTGTTCTTTTCTGTGGTTTATTTAGTGCCATGATTTTTACACTTTTGTGTTTTTCATTAGTGATTTTGCTGTTTAAAATGGCCCCAAGCATAGTGTTGAAATGCTGTCTAGTGTTTCTAAGTGCAGGAAGGCTGTGATGTGCCTTATGGAAAAAAATACTTGTATTGAATAAGCTGTGTTCTAAGCATGAGTTATAATCGCTACTGGCCACGAGTTCAAGGTTAACGAATCAACAATATGTATCATATAAGGCATCTTTGAACAGAAACACACGTAAAACAAGATCATGTATTAGTTGGTTGATGAAAATGCTGTGACTAGAGGTTCAAAGGAACATAACCCTGTCTTTCTCCTACAAGCAATGGTTTGGTATTCGGTAATTCAGTGTTCACAGCACCCTCGTAGAACATAACTACCGTGAATAATGAAAATCAACTGTATATTTAAAATAATTCTTAGGAAAAACCTGGAAGGAATCTTCTAGAACCCTTTTGTATCCTCTGACTACTTCCCCTATCCTTCTTCCCAAAGGCCGCCCTGACCCCCCATTGGGATTAAAGGTCGTGAGCATGACCCCACACTCAGTGGGGCTGGAGTGGAAGCCTGGCTTTGATGGGGGCTTGCCACAGAAATTTCACATCAGGTGGGTCCCGTCATCACATCAGGTGGGTCCCGTCAAGGCAGGAAGAGATAGCAGTCAGGGGCTGGGTCCCTTTCCTGAACTGACTGTCCTACCTGTCATGCAGGTATGAGGCCCTGGAGACTCCAGGGTTCCTGTACATGGATATCTTACCACCCCAGGCCACCACCTTCACACTTACTGGGCTACAGCCTTCTACACGATACAGGATCTGGTTGCTGGCCAGCAATGCCCTGGGGGACAGTGGACTAGCTGACAAGGGGACCCAGCTCACCATCACTACACCAGGTAGGAAGGGACAGTCTTGAGCAGGTCGGAGAGCTCCTCAGGGGACTTATAGGGTGGTAGTAAAGTGGATAATATTAGTACTCCCCTTTTACAGATGAAGAAACTGATGCCCAGAGAAGTTAAGCAAATTTTCCAAGGTCACACAGCTAGGAAAAAGTAGAGGTGAAATTGAAACTCAGGAAGAAAACTCAGAGACCAGCTTTTTCCACTAACCTAGCTGTCTGAATGTGATTAATGACCGAGCAAAATTAGAAAATAGTTTAAATTGAATGAAAATGAAAACATATAAAATTTTGAGGTGCAGCCAAAGTAATGTTTAGTGGGAAATTTATATTATTAAGTGCTTATATTAAATTTTTTCTAAAAAAGAGAAAGGCTTCAAATAGACTTACTAAGTTTCCACCTTAAGAAACTAGAAAAAGTACAAATTGAACCCAAAGTAAACAGAAGGAAGAAAATAATAAAGGTAAGAGCAGAAATTAATGAACTACAAAACAGAAAAACAATAGAGAAAGTAAAACTGAAAGCTGGTTCTTTGAAAAGACTGATAAAATTTATAAAGCTGATCAGGACATAAAAAGACGAGTTATCAATATTAGGAATGAAAGAGGCGACATTACCACTGATCTCACAGACGTTAAGAGAATGCTTAAGGAATATTACGAATAACTTTATGCTAATAAATTAAGCAATTTTGATGAAATGGACAAATTCCTTGCTTATGATTAATGAGTATGTTGTGATTCTGATGGGCACAGTAGTGTAGTGGTTAATCCCACAGAGCTGGTACAGAGAAGCCTGGGTTCAAGACCTCTACCTGCCACTTACTAGTTGTGTGATCTTAGGCAAGTGCCTCAGTTTCTAAAAATAAGGCATATCACAGATTTCTGTGTCTCAGTTTCTGAAAGTAAAGCCCATCTCAGACAGTTGTGAGAATTACATGAGTTAATATATCTTAAGTGCTTAGAACAAGGCCCAGTACAAAATAAGTGCTACCTAAATCTTAAAGAAATGTCCCCTGCTCACCCTGTTTTCTTTGCTCCGTGAAACTCCCTTAGAGGTCCCCTTTTCTGTCTTCACCTTCCTGACAGAGCAGCCTTTTTCTCTGTGGAAGTCAGGACACTTTCCCATCCTACAATCTTCCCTGCTCTTCCCCACCCCTCAATCCCAGTCTTCCTTTTGAGCACTGACACCAAAGTACTATACTCATCGGCCTTTCTATAGAACTTACACCTCTATTAAGGGATCCGGAGAGCCCAGCATCTTTTTTGGCAAACCCAACAAGTTGATAATTCAGGTTAAAAGGACCTTGCACACCATAAAGCACTCATCAATAATTAATTAATATTATTATTGGCATGAGAATTACTATTAATAGTATTGCCATTACTATCAGCAATTTCTAGCTCTCCTTTTTAAAATGATATTTGGGTGCACCTTTATACAGTGTGCACTAATCATATCAGGGTAGTTAGCATATCCATAACCTCAAACATTTGTCACCTCTTTGTGTTGGGAACATTCAACATCCTCTCAGCTAGCTACCTGAAGTTACACAGTAATTTGTTGTTGACTTTAGTCTCCCTATATTTTTATTGAACACTATCTAGATCTCTGAAATATTCCTAAGAAGCCATATACCAGTAGTCTGAAAAGCTTAAGAAACAGGCTGAGAAATATTTAAGGCTTATCTCAGATCCTTGGTGTTAATTCACAATCTTCACATCCATCCCCAGGCCTGGATCAGCCTTCTGGAGAACCTGACTATCAGCTGCCCACAGAGCAGCCTGCAGGCAAGTCTTCAATCCCCTGAATCCCTCCCCCCTGCCCCTGAGAATGGAACCCCCTGTGCGTAGTGCTCACAGTCCCTTAAGACTTAGCTCTGTCCCTATAGACTCCCACCCATATACTTAGCTCTTCCTGTTGCCTGGAGTGATAAATTTTCTCTTTTCCCAGTATAGTTTAATTCTGAAAGACTTAGCTAATTCCCTGCCCCGTGAGGAGCCTATATCAGTTAGCTTTTGCTGCATAACAAACCACCCCAAACATGGGCGCTTATAGCAATAAACATTACTTCTCATGTTTTATTGCTCATAGCAATAAACATTACTTCTCATGCTATTTCTCATGATGCTATGAGTCTGGCTGAGCAGTTCTGGCTTGAGTCATCTCTACTGTTAGCTGGCAGCTTGACTGGGACTAGGTGGTCTAGGATGCCTCCTCTTCAAATGTCTGACAGTCATCTGGCTCTTGGTTGGGACAATTAGGATAACTGGGCCACATGTCTCTCCTTGGCTTGGTTACATGGAGATGGTCACAGAGATCCCAAGAGCAGCAAAAGTTCCAATTTACTAACATTTTTCAAGTGTCTGATTTTGATACACTTGCTCTTGTCTCATTGGCCAAAGCAAGTCACACGGCTCCATGCAGACTCAGTGTGGAGGGGACTACTCAAGAATGTGGATACAAGGAAGGGAATTAAGGCCGTTTGACAAACAATCCCCCTCAGAGCCTGAGAAGAGGGTTGAAAACAACAGAAATTCAGCTGTTGTTGGCACTAAAAAGAATTGCTTCGCTCATGAAATTGAAAATTCTGAGTTTGGCTGGATTCAGGTGCTGAAAAATTTCACCAGCAATTGTTTCTCATCCTCTCTCAAATTTACCTCCATCTTTGGTGGCTTCCTTCTCAGCTTCTGCCATCAAATGGGCAAAGAATCTTTCTTACACCTCCAGCTTTTGTTCCACTTCTTAGCAGCCAGAAGAGTTGTCCTAAATATTCTGGCAAAAAGCCACTCAAATTTACCTCCATCTTTGGTGGCTTCCTTCTCAGCTTCTGCCATCAAATGGGCAAAGAATATTTCTTACACCTCCAGCTTTTGTTCCACTTCTTAGCAGCCAGAAGAGTTGTCCTAAATATTCTGGCAAAAAGCCACCTTGGGTCAACTACCTGTCTCTGAACCGGTCACTGTGGAAAGGGGGATGGGTGCTCTTCCTGTCCAGGCTAGCCATGTGCCCACCATGGAGTCCTGCCTGAGCCATACAGACTGAGTGCCGGGGAGTGGCTGTTCCCCAAAGGGAAACGAGTGCTGTTAGCAGAAGATGGGGAAGTGGATGCCACACAGACATCTTAATTAGAAGGAGTCAGTCTTGTCCTCGGATATAGCAGAGGAGCCAGCCTGATACTTGCTGTTAGCAGAAGATGGGGAAGTGGATGCCACACAGACATCTTAATTAGAAGGAGTCAGTCCTCGGATATAGCAGAGGAGTCAGCCTGATACTGGTTGAAAAGGAAGTTGGTGGAAGGAAGTCATTTGGGACATAATTTTAAGGGTGAATAGAAGTTTTCTTGAGAAGAAAGGATGTTTGAGGAGAGACATTTGACTATTCTAAGGCTCAAATGTGTGAATTTGCTTCAGTGATTCTGGAAACAGCCAGTGGTTAGTTTGTGTGGCTGCAAGGTCCAATACCAGGGCCTATAGTTTGTGGGCAAGGCTGGAGATATGAGATGAGGCTAGATCACAGAAACTCTTAAATGCCTGGTTAAGGAGCTCCCTCCTGAGTACACAGACAGAGCTCAGGCAAAGGTAGGACCTGCTGCTAGTGGATTGACTTGAGAAAACGGCCACCCGCCCTGGGGTGGCAGGAAGGGGAGGGGAAGGAGACCCCTGCCCATTGCTTTTCTGATCTTGGATGAGGGGCTTTGCTTGGTCAGGGATAGGCTTCCTCAGAGAGTCCTACTCTGGTCTTAGAGCCAATTGTTTTTGGCTCACTGGGGGTATCTTCCTTTCCTAGGACCCTCGGGGTTGCCCCTGCTTCCTGTGCTATTTGCTGTTGGGGGTCTTCTGCTGCTTTCCAATGCCTCCTGTGTTGGGGGATTCCTCTGGCGGCGGAGACTGAAGCGTCTTGCTGAAGGTGAGGAGAGACTCTTCCCCTACCAGGATAGAGAACCAAGGGTGACGGAGAGCTCTGGGGTTGCTGCATATTGAAGGTCTCCTCAGGACCAGGTGAGCTCAAATGGGGATCTCTTACCCCTATCTCCCTATTTCCCCCAGGCATCTCAGAGAAGACAGAGGCAGGGTAAGTGGGGATATTTTTCTGTAAAGAAGCTCCAAGGGAGGAGGCTTGGGGATGACAGATGGCAGAGGACCAACACCCAACTGCTCCCATACCTCCATCCTGGAAGGTCGGAGGAGGACCGAGTCAGGAATGAATACGAAGAGAGCCGGTGGACTGGAGACCGGGACACTCGAAGCTCCGTGGTGAGTGTGGCTGGTCTGGACAGCCCTGCTCACAGGGAACTGACAGCGACTAAAATTCTGTCATTAGCTTTAGGTTAATCATTGTCCTTTCCAGGATCTATGGAGTCAGAGGATGGAAAGGATTTTATCTGTTTTTTGTGTGTGAGACAGGTTAGCACAACAGAAGTGGAGCCATATTACCACTCCATGAGAGACTTCAGCCCCCAGGTGCTCCCCACACTGGAGGAGGTGTCTTATCCCCGAGGTGAGCTGTGACCACATCTCAGAGGTCTCTCCCACTAAAGATACCCCTGGCATCTGGACTGGACACCCTCATTATCCCTTCTTTCCAATCCAGCTCCAGCTTTTGTAGGTCTTGAAGATGAGGCTATGGCCTTTCCTGGGCATCTGTATGATGAAGTGGAAAGAATGTATGCCCCGTCTGGGGCCTGGGGACCCCTCTACGATGAAGTGCCAATGGTGAGAGCTTTGTATCAGCAGAAGTCCTTCCTGGCTAGTACTGGAAACCCACCTCCTACTGCTTGTGTTAGATAGTGTAAGCGAGCTGCTATGACAAAGAGGCCTGGCCATAATCCAGTGGCCTGTAAAAGACAGTCTATTTCTCTCTCACATAACAGTCAGAGGTGAGTGGCCTGCTGTATGTGGTTATTCTGGAACCCAAGTTCTTTCCACTGTGTTTCTCTGCCATCTCCTAGCACATTGTCCAAGTCTGCAGGGATGGGCCAGTTCACTGGGGGTTTCAGCCGGTGGGAAAGGGAAAAAGAGAGTGCAGTGGAGGCACAACCCTGCTTTATGGTTGAGGGCCCCAAACGGTACACATCACTCTGCCTCATCCCACTGGTGAGAACATGGTCACATGACAACACCTGACTGCAAAGGGGACTGAGAAATGTAGGCTAGCGGGGCAGCTATGTGAGTCACTACAGTTTTGTTACTGTGAAAGAAGAGGTATGTATTTCCTTGGATAACGAGCCGTCTCCACTGCACTGGTTGAGCAGAGAAAGAATTTTTGACCCACTCAATTGAAAAGTCAACAGATAGAATTGTCTTCAGGCCCAGCGGGACCCAGGATTTCCTCCCTAAACATGTCTCCAGAAAATCCAGATTTGTATCCTATTAGATTATAAATCTTCAAAGAAAGATAATGCTTCTTTCCCAATAGCTCCAAATGCCCAACACTGACACTTGTTGATCTAGCCTGGGTCACATACTCATCACTGAACCAACCACTAAGGCTGGGGATAGAAGATGCTAACTGGACAGGCCTGAATCAGTGCCCATCCGTGGATCAGGTCAGCCTTGATCAATTCTCTGGACTGAGAGTGACAGAGGAACAGAGAGCCCGGAGGGAAGTGAAGTTGGTGGCTGGGCAGGCAAAAACAACAGACAGGCACTTTGACCACAAACCAACACCCCCACACCCACTGTCCCACAGTAAAGGAGGTGGGACAGAACCCAACTTTCTTTGTGGCCTTGGCTAATGCTCTGGCACCTGTGGGCTAAGGATTTCCCTCTGTCACAACGTCCCATATGGAGCATGGTCTCAGATCTCCCCAGCAGCACAGAAACGCGCACAAAACGCTGTCCACGGTGCTGGACCATATGTGCCCTCTAAAGCACAGATGAAGTCTGAAGACTTACTGTAAAGGGCCAGACAGTAAACATTTTGGGCTTTGTGGGACATATGGCCTTCCTCAAAACTACTCAACTCTGCCATTAGAGGGTAAAAGCAGCCAAAGACAATATATAAGTAAATGAGTGAAGATATTCCAATATAACTTTATTTTTGGACACTGAAATTTGAATTTCATATAATTTTCATATGTCACAAATATTATTCTTCTTTTGATTTTTACCCTAGTTAAAAAAAATATAGCTTTTGGAAAAGTACAAAACAGGTGGCAAGCCATATTTAGCTCACAGGCCAATCTGCTCTAAAGTTTGCTGATCTAAAACAACCATTTTCTCCCTGCCCTAGGACAAAGTACATTCCAGTAAGGACCCCTTCATAGTCTTTTTTCTCTTCTATTTCAATGGGGAAATGTTTTGGACATTCATAGGACTAACAGAATAATGACTCAAATCCCACAATTGTCATAGCTGATAACATGGGCTTTTAAAGGTTTTATATTTCTGACATTTAAATTATTTTCCTAACATGAATTATGGAATATCTTGAACTTTCTTCAAAATAATTCAATTGGTGGGGGCAGATGAGAAGACAGAGATATAGAAAAAGCAAGATTGATCAAGGGTTGGTACTGTTAAAGTTAGGTGATAGGTACATGAGGGTTCATGATGGGAGTTTATTATAATTACTCCCCTCTTTGTAGATGTTGGATTTTTCGATAATTAAAAGCTAAAATATTTTTTTCTGGGAGTTGAGCAGAAGCATATATGCCCTAGAGCTGTGATGATGACCAACAGGGCATCTGTCCATGGTTCTAACTCTGTCTTTTGCCTGTCAGGACCCCTGTGACGTCCGCTGGCCTGAGGACGAGTATGAGGATCCCAGAGGAATCTATGACCAGGTGGCAGGAGACTTGGACACTATGGAACCTGATTCTCTCCCATTTGAGCTGAGAGGAGATCTGGTGTGAGAGCCTTCTCAACACGCTTTTCCTCCGACCACAGGATTGATACTCCAAAGGTCCTTTTCATTCCAGCCTGGGCTGAGCTTGCAAAGTGAGCTCCATAAGACACAAAGGGACTGGGCTTCTTCAGGAGAGGACATGAAGGGATGTGTGTAAGTGATATAAGATGATCCAAGATGGTGTCAAATTATAAACAAGGCTCCTCCTGGGATTAGCTTTAGAACTAAACTTCCCCAAAGGGACAGAATAAATTGTAAGAGACATCTCAAAAATGAAAAGCTATTCTGAGAGTCTTTATGCTTTTTGAAGTAAGATTTTCAGAAGTGGGAAAAGACATATTAAAAAGTCAGTTCATTTTGAATTCAATTACATCTAAAATGGCTAATTGTAGGTGAAATTTATAAACCATTGTTATGTCCTACCTATTCTTGTTTTGTGATTTTCCACATTTATCTATAGCATCATGTATAAACTATGACACACATGTAAACATAAATACACTGTATAGAAAACAAAATGAACAGCTAGATGCAAAAGAGTACATACTGTATGATTTCATTCACAGAAATTCTAGAACAGATAAAACCAGTCTATGGTGATAGGGAGCAGATCAGTGGTTGCAGCAGGGCCAAGAAAGGAGGACTGTAAAAAGGTCTGCAAAAAAGGCCTGAGGAAACTTTTCAGGGTGATGGGAATATGCAATATCATGACTGTGGTGGTGGCTACACGGGTGCCTAAATTTGTCAAAACTCATTGAACTGTGTACACTCAAGATAAGTGCATTTTATTATACATAAATTATACCTCAATAAAGGTGATTTTAAAAACAGTCATCATATTAAAGTAGCCCACTAAGAGAATCTTTATTCTTTATATTGAATAGCAGGATAACTGAGAAATCTGTCTATTTCCACGAAGAACAAAGTATATTTCTTTAGACTTCCACTTTTATATGATCAATCATATTATCAAAACTTTTTAGTTAGGGCCGGCCCGGTGGCGCACTGCTACAGTGTGCCGCTTGAGAGCGTGGCAGTGCTCCCGCCGAGGGTTCGGATCCCACATACAGACCGGTTCCCGCTCACTGGCTGAGCGAAGTGCGGGCGCAACACCGAGGGTTGCGATCCCATTGCCGGTCCGGTACGGGCGCGACACTGAGGGTTGCGATCCGTTGCCAGACACGAAAAAAGACAAAAAAAAAAAAGGAAAAAAAAAAACTTTTTAGTTAAAATGTTTGGCAATATATAATTTTTTTTTTCAGCACAGAATAAAATGAGTTTTTACACTATGGCACTCGAATACACAAATACATTAGGGTCCAAATAACTTCATTTTAATTAAAAAGATGATTTTATTCCTAAAAGTAGAATTTTTATAATTGCATATTTTTCCTTTTCAGATTGTCAGTTACAAAGTTTTGTTTTCTCATTGGCTTAAGCAGGAAAAGTGAATTTATTGGCTCTTGCAGCTGACAATTCCAGAGGTAGGGTCGGCTTCAGGCACCGCTGGATACAGTATTGAAACAAAGCCATGAGGGGCAGGCTCTCTGTATCCCTTGGGTCTGCTTATCTCTGTGTTGGCTTCATTCTTAGGTAGACTCGTTATCTGAGAGACAAAGATGATCACCTATAGTTCTAGGCCGGTATTCCACAAGCTTAGCAGCTGGAGTGCCTCTTTTGCAAGTAGTTCCGGGAAGTCCTGGGGCTGTCTTTCATCAACTCAGTCTGGGTCATTTGTCCATCCATGAAATAATCATTGTGGCCATTGAATATGCTGATAATCCAGGTGCTGGGTTGCTCAGCACCATGAACCTCTTGAGTGAGATTCTCCAAAGTAACCCCAGGCTGTGGTTGGCCCTCTTCGTGCACTTCCTACTTCTTCCTCTTTGCCATTGTCTGAATCATTGTAGCAGATAACTACTGCTTCTGCCTGCCGTGTATCTAGTCCCCCTAAATCTATATGGACATTGATGAACAATACAAGTTCCTGATTATACCAAGTGCCTGGATCCAGCTGCACCTGCAGTCTGCAATACTCCTAGACTAGAAATTCCCCTCCCCACTTAGGTCAGTCTAAATGGTGTCTTCATGGGCCGGCCCGGTGGTGCACTGGATAGTGCGCTGCTTGGGAAGTGCGGCGGCACTCCCGCCCGAGGGTTCGGATCCC